TAAGTATATAGAATGTATAAAACTTTGTCTTAGGGTAGCCCTAGCAATTTAGGTTCACCCTAAAGTCTTGTTTCATGTAATAGTAAACATAATTTTGTCTGATTAGATTATCCCTGATTAGAGCCCTGAAGACATTTCAACCATGTATATATATTATTTGTTTGTTTTGTTTTGTTTTGAGACAGAGTCTCGCTCTTTCACCTGGCCTAGAGTGTCATGGTGTCAGCCTAGCTTACAGCAATCTCAAACTCCTGGGCTCAAGACATCCTCCTGCTTCGGTCTCCTGGGGAGCTGGGTTTACAGGCACATGCCTCTACACCCAGCTAATTCTAATTTTTTTCTATTTTTATTTTTATTTATTTAGTTTTTATTTTTATTTTTCTATTTTTAGAGGAGATAGGGTCTCACTCTTGCTCAGGCTGGTCTCAAACTCCTGACCTCAAGCAATCCTCCCACCTTCACCTCCCAGAGTGCTACGATTACAGGTGTGAGCCATCATGTCCACCTCAACCATATTTTTTATAATGAGTATATAAATTTTGGTTTATTTTAGGGTTTCAATGATTAAAATGTTTCGTACATAATATTAATAATATCCTTACTCAGAGATTAGGGACCTTTATCAGGATTCAACTATTCCTACTAATTATGGTCTCATCAATCTTCATTGCTTCCAGTTCAGGTAAGTTACAAAAAATGACAGAAAACCTATCGAATTTATGGATGAAGAAGTTAGAATTTTGAAAGTTAAAAGTATGCCATGACTCTCAAGAAAAAAACCTAATGCTCTCAATGGAACATAATTACTACAAAAATGAAGGTGGTGCTATAATTAATTAACATTTTAGAAAGCAACTTAGCAATAGCTGTAAAAAGTTGGTAAAAACAAGCAAACAAAAAGCACTCTTTTTGATCTGCTAGTTCTATTTCTAGATTTTCATCCTAACAAAATGATCCAAAACATGGGGAAAGGCTGGGCGTGGTGGCTTATGCCTATAATCCTAGTACTCTGGGAAGCTGAGGCGAGCAGATTGCTCAAGGTCAGGAGTTCAAAACCAGCCTGAGCAAGAAGGAGACCCCGTCTCTACTATAAATAGAAAGAAATTAATTGGACAACTAATATATAGAGAAAAAAATTAGCCGGGCATGGTGGCACATGCCTGTTGTCCCAGCTACTCGGGAGGCTGAGGCAGAAGGATTGCCTGAGCCCAGGAGTTTGAGGTTGCTGTGAGCTAGGCTGACATCATGGCACTTACTCTAGCCTGGGCAACAAAGTGAGACTTTATCTCAAAAAAAAAAAAAATGGGGAAAGCTTTATGAATGAAATAAAGAATTGGAAATAACCTGAATATACCAAAATACAGTTAGATAAACCACACTGCATCCTCTTAGAAATAGTACACAGTCATTAGAAATCTTTACAAAGAGCCAGGCATGTGCAACTGACTGTAGTCCCAGCTACTCAGGAGGCTGAGGCCAGGAGGATTGCCTATGCTGAGGAATTTGAGACTGCAGTGAGGCTATTTTTTTCTTTTTTTTTTTTTTTTTTTTTCTAATTATTTTTTATTTTGCAGTGAGCTATTATCATGCTACTATACTTTAGCCTGGGCAACACAGTGAGACCCTATCTCAAAAATAAATAAATTGGCTGGGCACAGTGACGTGAGTCACCTGTAATTCTAGCACTCTGGGAAGCTGAGATGGGAGGATTGTTTGAGGTCAGGAGTTTGAGACCAGCCTCAGCAAGGGCAAGACCCCTGTCTCTACTAAAAATAGAAAAAATTATCCAGGCATGGTGCTGCACGCCTGTAGCCCCAGCTACTCGGGAGGCTGAAGCAGGAGGATCATTTGAAGCCAGGAGTTTGAGGTTGCTGTAAGCTAGGCTGACACCAAGGCACTCTAGCCTGGGCAACAGAGTGAGTCTCTGTAACAAAATGTATATATGGCCGGGCGCGGTGGCTCATGCCTGTAATCCTAGCACTCTGGGAGGCAGAGGCGGGCGGATTGCTCGAAGTCAGGAGTTCAAAACCAGCCTGAGCAAGAGCGAGACCCGTCTCTACTATAAATAGAAAGAAGTTAATTGGCCAATTAATAGTTATAGAAAACAAAATTAGCCGGGCATGGTGGCGCATGCCTGTAGTCCCAGCTACTTGGGAGCTGAGCAGGGAGATTCCTTCAGCCCAGGAGTTTGAGGTTGCTGTGAGCTAGGCTAACGCCACGGCACTCACTCTAGCCTGGGCAACAAAGTGAGACTCTGTCTCAAAAAAAAAAATGTATATATATGTGTGTGTGCGTGTGTGTGTGTGTGTGTGTGTGTATAACCATCTTTACAAAGGCTATTTAACAGTATAGGAAATAATTCATAAATTATTCATAAAGCAGGATATATACACATGTATGATTACAAGTATGTAGTGGAAAAAGATCCTGTCCATAGAGACTGAAATATACAAAAATGTTACCTGTTTTTTCCCTTGAGTTAGAGAAATAAGTATATTTTTACTTATTTTCCTGTATTTTCTAAGTTCTATTTAATAGTATATTGATTTTGAAATGAAATATCTATTGAAAATGTTGGGCGTTAGGATATAAAATAGAAAAATATGCAGCAAAACACAATAAATGTATTTACAGTCTAGTTGTAATTATGTTTCAAATATCTGTGTATGTGGTGGGAGAGAGAGAATAGAAATAAAAATGTCGTCTTTTGCCTCGTTGCCCTCCTGAGAGCAAGATGGGTCACCAGCAGCTCTATTGGAGCCACCCGCGAAAATTCGGCCAGGGTTCTCATTCTTGTCGAGTCTGCTCAAACCGGCACGGTCTGATCCGGAAATACGGCCTCAATATGTGCCGCCAGTGTTTCTGTCAGTATGCGAAGGACATCGGTTTCATTAAGTTGGACTAAGTGATCTTCTTTGAATGGATTTTCCACGGCACCCACGAAGTGAAAGAGACCATGCTAGTAGCTCTTTGTATATAAAATAAAATTTAAAAAAAAAAAAAAAAGAAAGAAAAAAAAAGTCAAAATGCCAGGAATAATTATATAAAGTAGGGTGGTAATCGAGTATTTTTTTTCTTATTTTCTACATTTCCTGTATTTATTTGTGTTAGTTTTATTTTTTAAATTTTATGTATTTATTTGTGTTAGTTTTATAAGAAATACCTTTTGACAAGTATACCTGGCTGACTCACAGGGAGTCAGTTGCACCCAGGGCCCCTAGTTTACCCTGGGCCTCATCTCAGCTTGCTGCTGGGACTTGTCTTGTGTGAAGATGATGAGAGGCCTATAGGGCATTAAAATTCTATTGTGTCATAATTTATCAAGCCTACAGGTAAGAGGCAAAGCTGCCACAATGATTTTCCTTTCTATAGTTGAGAGAACACTGAATGGACCAAGAAGCCAAGAAATATTGGTTCTATTCTCAGTGCTGCATTTTTGTTCAGGGAGTTCATTTAACCTTGTTTCCTAATTCCAGTACTAAAAGGGTCAGATTACTTACTCTAATTGCAAGTCATGTACAGAAAAGTCAGCTGAGATGGGGAGATGCAGAAAATTAGTGGTAGACTACAGCAAGACCCCAAGAGTTTGGGAAATCAGGCAGTATAGTTTATGATCTCTCAAACTAGTTCTTTACAGAGTAAGTAAAGAACTCAATGATGGGTTGTTACAAAACCCAGGATTCCCAAAATTCTGGGCAGGATTTAAAAAAAGAAATATGAGTAACAGCACAGAACACTAGCAACAGGGCTTGAATAACCCAGGGATTTTTTTATACTCTAGCAAAGAACAGAACTTTATTGCAGGGTCTAACCATACACATAGAATTTAGGTAGACACTCCAGGCTAGAATGGAGAAGTGAAGAAAACATATGGTTTCAGGTATATGTGTTTTGTTGAGAAAATACTGTGATGAAACCCAAAAGGCTCATTTAGTTTGGGGAGTCAAAGTACTTCTCAAACACATTGTCCAATAGAACTTTCTAAAATGATGTCAATGTTCTAAATCTGTGCTGTTCAACAAGGTAGACACTACCACATAAGACTACTTGAATACCAGAAATGTGGTAGGTGTAATTGAGGAATGAACATTTTAATTTATTTCAGTTTAATTAACTTAATTTCAAATTAAATAGCTATATATGGCGAATAGCTACCACACTGAACAAAGCAGCAAAGGCCTAAAACAGTCCTGTTTTAATTAATTACTTTATTTATTTATTTATTATTTTTTAGAGACAGGGTCTTGCTCTGTCACCCAGGCATACATGTCATACATGCATGTCATACATGCATACATACATGTCATACATGCCTGATCATAGTTCGCTATAGCCTTGAACTCCTGGGGTCAAGCAATCCTCCCACTTCAGCTTCCCAAAATGCTGGGATTACAGATGTGAGCCACTGTGCCTGGCCCTGTTGCTATTTTTAAGTATAGTCACAAACCTATATAATGAAAGAAAAATACTTTAACACAAAGACAATTATATGGTATTAATACTTTGTAGCATATATGTATATGTGTTGTGAGTGGTAACTTAATAATTCCATAAGAAGCTAAATCAATTCTAGGAATTCATGCCATTTCCAGAGTAAACTTAGATTAGCCACATTCTGGACTCAACCTTAAGATACATGCACCCAAGATGAACCAGTAACCACTTTGGCCCTAAGTGACTTTCTAAAACTAGGTTAAAGTGAGACAAGGCAACTGCAGGGCTGAGCCAACTGTTCTTGGGCCTACCTTAATCTTAAACTCAGACTAGATCTAGGCTCTAGAGTTTGGTAGGGCACAGCCATTCTTTGGGTGGCACTCATCATAGAAGTGGCTGGTGCAGACAAAGATGTTCCGAATCTTAGATTCTCCCTCAGTGTATGAGGTAACAGAGAGTTAGAGTCTTGTAACAGAGACAAATTACAGATTTATAAACTGGACTCTACACCTAGAAATCCAGACATCTCTTCCTACTCTGACCCAATGAAGAAAGTGAGAGATAACTTAATGCCAAAACAGGTTTATTGGTAATTTTACACAAAAGAATGTTGGCAGCTTGATAAGTATTTAACATAAAAAAGGCTCAGAACAAGCTGTGTTTCTTTCACCATAAGAAAGTATATCTACTCCAAGGAGAGAGAACAGATCAAACTTCAAGTTTACATAATAGACATAATAACAAGAAGCTCAGAGTCCCTGCTTTGTTAGGAAAATGGACAAAACCTTCTAAAAGTAAATGAAATAAAAAGAAATTAAAACTAAGGTATTGATTCCTATAATAACATTAACTAATGTTTGTCTATGTATGACATGAGATAGAACATTCAAAATTCAAACATAAAACCAATATTTTAATACAGAAAAAAGTGCTGATAAAGTTGTCAGGTACCAATTTTTTAAAAAACTCATGACTAATAGTTTTACCAACTCCCTTCAAGCCAAAGAGAAAGCCAAAAACAAGAAACAAAAATTTAAAAATTATAGATTCTTCCTGATACTAAGCCCAAGATTTTTCCTTTCTTCAAATCAGAGGAACCCAAATTATGATAAATAATTCACTCCAGCCACTGGGAACATTACTGCATAGTGACATAATTAGAAATTTTACTTCTTCCATTATTTAACTTATTCATTCCCACTCTAATCCAAATACCAGGAATGTAGGACTAAGCAAGAGGATGTAATTTCCGCCCCCCCCAAGCCTGTGACTGAACATTAAGAAATTTACAACATAAGGAACTTAAGCACTATGTAAGGTCCTGATGGCAGGGGAAATGGGCCACTTTTATGGCCTTAAGAACAAATTGCAAATCCCTAAGGCAGACTTAGAGAAGGATTTATCCAGGAATCAGTCTTTTCCAAGGCTGGACAGGGAGGCAGTGTGGAAAGCACAGCTCTTTTTAAAGGATGAAAGACGTCACTTGGAGAGACTCTGGTTTCCTGAAGAAGAGGAGATGCTGAAACATCTTGTTTTGTGCATTTTAAATCTTCCTTGTTTTCCACCATCAATAACTGTTCTATCTCCTCTTTCAAAGATAAATTTGCCTGAAACTCATGTTTATGTATTGTAAAGTGTTCTTTTTGAGCCATTTTCTGGTCTTCTGACCTCTCTGATTCTAGGCAAATGTGTTTGTTACTGGAATCCTCACTGGCTTCCCCATCTTTTATGGGAGGTAGAGGTTGAGGTGTTGTATTTTCTTTACTCTTAGATTCTTCTTTCAGAAAATTCACATCCTCATGAGATTCAGGAGATATATTAATAAAACTTGGAGATTTATTTGTCTGAGAATCTTTACAAAATAAAAAACCTTTGATATTTTCCTCTTTTCCTGCTGTCTCTGTCAATAATTTCTTTGGATGTAGCACTGTCCTTATTAGGAGGCCCTGTGCATTCATCCGATATTCTTTTACAGCTCTCTCTCTGCGCTGCTTCTGAAAGTCCTTGAGTTGAAGCAGCTCCTCTGGCAGCTCCATACATGTAGGCTAAGAAAAGAAAATGAACATGAGTTACTTATAACTAAACTTCTGAATCTGTTACTTAAAATCAATGGTAATTGGCCAGGGAGGGTCTATTCAAATGTGCTCATATAGCACCCTCTAGTGTCTTCAACTATAGTAATTACTTATTTTTCTTTTTACTGAAGTAAATTTAGCTACAGAATAGTACTATTTTTTGAGTAATTTAAATATTTTGAAAAGGCAATGAATCTACAAGAGCGTGCATGTGTATAAGCATGCATGAATAAAGATCATATGGGAAAAGAAAGTCTCTTTTCCAAACTGGCACCAGTTGCCTTAGCAGGTACATCCCCAAAAAAGCAACTTCTTATGTAATCTCCCAGAGACAGTCTAGGGATGTAAGGACATATGTATATACATGCATCCCTTTTTTTTTTTTTTTTTTGAGACAGAGTCTCACTTTGTTGCCCCAGCTAGAGTGAGTGCGGTGGCGTCATCCTAGCTCACAGCAACCTCAAACTCCTAGGCTCAAGCGATCCTGCTGCCTCAGCCTCCCAAGTAGCTGGGACTACAGGCATGCGTTACCATGCCAGGCTAATTTTTTGATATAATAATTAGTTTGGCCAATTAATTCTTCTATTATAGTAGAGACGGGGTCTCGCTCTTGCTCAGGCTGGTTTTGAACTCCTGACCTTGAGCAATCAGCCCGCCTTGGCCTCCCAGAGTGCTAGGATTATAGACGTGAGCCACCTCGCCCGGCCTATACATATGTCTCTTACTAAATGTTTATCCTTTTATTGGATTACATTTTTATTTTCCCCTAAATTTTTCTTTATTTATTATTTTTGAGACAGTCTTGCTCTGTCACCTGCACTAGAGTGCAGTGGCATCATCATACCTCAGTACAACCTCAAGCTCCTGGGCTCTAACAACCCTACGGCTCAGCTGGAACTACAGGAGCACACCATCATGCCCAGCTAATTTTTCTATTTTTTATAAAGTCAGAAGTATTGCTCTTGCTTAAGCTGATCTCAAATTCTCCTGGCCACAAGCAATTCTCCTGCCTTCGGCTTCCCCAAATGCTGGGATTACAGGGGTAAGCCACCGACCCAGACTCAAATTTTTATTATTTCTATTTATTTATTTATTTATTTTTGAGACAGAGTCTCATTCTGTTGGCCAGGCTAGAGTGCGGTGGCATCAGGCTAGAGTGCTGTGTCATCAGCCTAGCTCACAGCAACCTCAAACTCCTGGGCTCAAGCAATCCTTCTGCCTCAGCCTCCTGAGTAGCTGGGACTAAGGCATGCACCACCATGCCTGGCTAATTTTTTCTATATATTTTTAGTTGGCCAATTAATTTCTTTCTATTTTTAGCAGAGACGGAGTCTTGCTCTTGCTCAGGCTGGTTTTGAGCTCCTGACCTTGAGTGATCCACCCACCTCGGCCTCCCAGAGTGCTAGGATTACAGGCATGAGCCACTGTGGCTGGCCATCTAACTCTTTTTTTTTTGAGACAGAGTCTCACTCTGTTGCCCAGGCTAGAGTAAGTGCCATGGCATCAGCCTAGCTCACAGTAACTTCAAACTCCTGGGATCAAGCAATCCTGCTGCCTCAGCCTCCTGAGTAGCTGCGACTACAGGCATGCGCCACTATGCCTGGCTAAGTTTTTCCATATATTTTTAGTTGTCTAGCTAATTTCTTTTTTTTTTTTTTTGGGGACAGTCTCACTTTGTTGTCCAGGCTAGAGCAAGTGCCATGGTGTCAGCCTAGTTCACAGCAACCTCAAACTCCTGGGCTCAAGCAATCCTACTGCCTCAGCCTCCTGAGTAGCTGGGACTACAGGCATTTGCCACCATGCCTGGCTAATAGGCTGGTTTCAAACTTCCAACCTCGAGCAATCCGCCCACCTCAGCCTCCCAGAGTGCTAGGATATAGGCGTGAGACACCGCGCCCAGCCCATGATAACTCTTTCTAAAAATCATTTTATACAAATGGTAACATACTATTACCATTTTTACTGTATACCATTATATATTCTTCTGTATCTTGATTTAAAAAAAAACTGCCTTGGAGATGTTTCCATATTGGCATTTCTAACCATGGGGTGTGTGTGTATGTGTGTGTTTGTGTGTGTGTGTGTAATAGCTTATTTTTAGTTGCTCAGCTAATTTTTTTTCCTGTTTTTAGTGGAGACAGGGTCTTGCTCTTACTCAGGCTAGTCTCAAACTCCTGACCTCAAGTGATTCTCCCACCTCAGCCTCCCAGAGTGCTAGGATTATAGGCGTGAGCCACTGTATCTAGCCAAATATGATTTTTAAAAGTTCAGTATTTATGAGATAATCATAATCTGGCTCGATAACATGGCATCTGGAAATTTTCTAATGTTTAACCATGCTTGCAACCAGAATCCAGTAACACATTAATAAAAAATAACACATCTAAGTCGGGTACATATGAAAAATGCTAGTATTTTATTTAGAATTTTGTATCTATTTTCATAACTGTGAATGGTTTATAGCAGCAACTGGAAAACTTTTTCTGTAAAGGGTCAAATAGTAAATATTTTGGCTTTATGAACTACAGATGAACTCAGTCTTATATTCTTTTTCTCCTTCTCCTTCTTCTTTTTTCTGTTTTTTTTTTTTTAGAGACAGGGTCTCACTCTGCCACCCAGGCTGGAATACAGTGACATAATCATAGCTCACTGTAACCTTGATCTCTTGGAGTCAATGATCCTCTTATCTCAGCCTCCCAAGCAGGTAGGATTGCAGACATGCCACCTCACCCAGCTAATTTTTTTTTTAATAGATGGCGGGTGACACCTCATGTTGCCCAGGCTGGTCGCGAACTCCTGGCCTCAAGCAATCCTCCTACCTCAGCCTCCCAAAGTGCTGAGATTATATGTATGAGCCACCTCACCCTGACTACTACTTCTTTTTTTTTTTTTTATATAATTTTTTAAAACTGTGAAAACTGTTCTTAGCTCATGAGTTGTACAAATATAGGCCATGGGCCAGATATGGCCAGTGGGAAACAGTTTGCCAATTCCTAGTCTATAATTTTCTTATATTACTCTGGCTGCAGAAAAGAACCAATGAAATATTAAGTTTACCCATTCTTTGACAGAAGTATTTCTTGGAAACATAACTTAATATTGTGACAAGGTGCTCAAGGGAATGGATCAAGCCCAAGCTGTAGCCCCGTGAAAAATATTTATCACCAAGTCTGTCCCACAAAAGTTGCTGCAGCTATGAAGAAAGGGTATCACTATGCCCGTTCTCCACGAGGAAGGAGGCAGAAAGGAAGTCCTGAAGACACACCCACAAAGAGCTACACCTACCTCTATGCTTCCAAGCCGGTCGGCAGACCCTTCTCGATAGGTATTTAGGTACCCATCCACCAGGGTGGTTAGGTCAGACATCATCTCATCCAGGAGTACCAAGCGAAGGGGTAGCAGATAGGTAGCTTCCAGAGCCAACATTTTCAGTAAAGAGGGTAACAGGGGTCGTGTGAACCATACTTCTGGATTTTCCTAGAGACAAGAAAATAATTCTCTGAATAGTAGGCAAGACTTTAAAGAGAATAACTGTCTAAGGGTTGCTTAATTTAAAACACCGTCATTTTCTTCTATCATTACCTTCTACTTTCATACTATCAATAGTCTTAAGAGCATGCAAGTGTGCAAACACACACACCACACACAAACACGCCTAAGGGGAGAGGTAGGTCAATCAATCAGGGCTTCTCATTCAAAGCTGGAGGCAACAGACTTCATTATATGAACAAAATTGTAGTCAATATAGTCAAGGATATTAGGAGCTAATTTTTTTTGGAGAAATAAATGGGATAATTTTGGTTTCATTGCCTTAAACCAAATTACCACAAAATTTCCCCCTTGTCAAAAATTTAAAATTTATTTCAGGGTACCTTTGTTTGTTTGTTTTTTGAGACAAGGTCTCACTCTGTTGTCTGAGCTAGGGCACAGTGACATCAGTCTAGCTTGCTGCAACCTTAAACTCCTGGGCTCAAATGATCCTCCTTCTTTAGCCTCCATAGTAGCTGGAACTACAGGCATGCACTATCACGCCCAGCCAATTTTTCTATTTTTTTGTAGAGACAACATCTCATTACTCCTGGCCTCAAGTGATCTTCCCACCTTGGCCTCCCAAACTGCTGGATTATAGGCCTAAGCCATTGTACCTGGCCCAAAGTCTTTTTTTTTTTTTTTGGAGACATAGTCTCACTTTGTTGGCCAGGCTAGAGTGAGTGCCCTGGCGTCAGCCTAGCTCACAGCAACCTCAAACTCCTGGGCTCAAGCGATCCTTCTGCCTCAGCTCCCGATAGCTGGGACTACAGGCATGTGCCACCATGCCTGGGCTAATTTTTCTACTATGTTAATTGGCAATTAATTTCTTCTATTATAGTAGAGACAGGTCTCACTCTTGCTCAGGCTAGTTTGAACTCCTGATCTCAAGCAATCCACCTGCCTCGGCCTCCCAGAGTGCTAGGATTACAGGTGTGAGCCACCATGCCCGGCCCCAAAGTACTTTTTTTTTTTTTTTGAGAACAGAGTCTCGCTTTGTTGCCCAGGCTAGAGTGAGTGCCATGGCGTCAGCCTAGCTCACAGGCAACCTCAATCTCCTGGTCAAGCCAACCTTCTGCCTCAGCCTCCCGAGTAGCTGGACTACAGGCATGCGCCACCATGCCCAGCTAATTTTTTATATATATATTAGTTGGCCAATTAATTTCTTCATTTTTATAGTAGAGAACGGGTCTCGCTCTTGTTCAGGCTGGTTTCCAACTCCTGACCTCGAGCAATCCGCCCGCCTCGCCTCCCAGAGTGCTAGGATTACAGGTGTGAGCCACCATGCCCGGCCCCAAAGTACTTTTAATTGATAACCAACAAATCTGGATCCTGGCTTTTATCCACTTGAGACCACAAACAGTTCTCATTTGGCACAACTAACACTTTTAGGCAATGCTTGTAATTATATGGCAGCTGTCATTTCTCTATAAAATAGGCTGATGATCCTGTTCAGAAAACACTTGAAAAAATTAATATCCGCCGGGCATGGTGGCTCACATCTGTAATCCTAGCATTCGTGGGAGGATTGCTTGAGCTCAGAAGTTCGAGACCAGCCTCAGCAGGAGTGAGACCCCGTTTCTACAAAAAATAGAAAAATTAGTTGGGTGTGGTGGTGCATGCATGTAGTTCTAGCTACTTGGGGACAGGAGGATGGCTTAAGCCCAAGACTCTGAGGTTGTGAGCTAGGCTGACAACATGGCATTCTACTCAGGGCAATAGAGTGAGACTCTGTCTCAAGAAAAAAAAATTAATATCATATGGAACATCCTTTAATACTTACCTTAATTAGTTTTTGTCTCTCCTCTAGAAAGGAGAGATATTTAGGGGCTACTTTAAGGTGTCTGATTAAACTCTCCTGCAAAGTACTGATGCAGTTTGGAAGAAAGCCACCTGTTTCCATGGAAAATTGAAGGACATCTGCTACCTGTGGTATTAAAAAAAGATAAACATAACAGTTGAATATATATAGAAATCTATCTCATGGCAGAAATATATTTAGAGACAATTCTTTTTTTTTTGAGATAGAGTCTCACTTTGATGCCCAGGCTAGAGTGAGTGCCCTGGCGTCAGCCTAGCTCACAGCAACCTCAAACTCCTGGGCTCAAGCGATCCTGCTGCCTCAGCCTCCCGAGTAGCTGGGATTACAGGCATGCGTCACCATGCCCAGCTAATTTTTTCTCTATATATTATTGGCCAATTAATTTCTTTCTATTTATAGTAGAGACAGGGTCTCGCTCTTGCTCAGGCTGGTTTCGAACTCCTGACCTCAATCAATCCGCCTGCCTCAGCCTCCCAGAGTGTTAGGATTACAGGCGTGAGCTACCACGCCCAGCCTTTTTTTTTTTTTTTTTTGAGAGAGAGTCTCACTTTGTTGCCTGGGCTAGAGTGCATGGTGTCAGCCTAGCTCACAGCAACCTCAAAGTCCTGGGCTCCAGCAATCCTTCTGCCTTAGCCTCCCGAGTAGTTGGGACTACAGGCATGCGCCACCATGCCCGGCTCATTTTTTCTATATATTTTTAGTTGGCCAATTAATTTCTTTCTATTTTTAGTAGAGACAGGGTCTCACTCTTGCTCAGGCTGGTTTCAAACTCCTGACCTTGAGCGATCCTCCCGCCTTGGCTTCCCAGAGTGCTAGGATTACAGGCGTTGAGCCACCTCGCTTGGCCTAGAGACAATTCTTTAAATATCATTTTCCCCAAGGATCCACATGATAGACAATGTCAATAGGAAATTTAAAGTTGTTCAGTCAACTTATTCTAAAAAATGTTTCTAAAAAAGGAAAAAAAATAATACAACTTTAATAGATCATTGTCTACTTTCTTTTCTACTTCTTTTATTTGCTAGCTTTAATAGTCATTTATTACTCTTTGGTGCTTCTGGTTAATAGGAAAGGAAGATAAAATTCAAGAATTATTTTTATTACCTATTAGCAACTTTGATAAAGTTTTGGTAAGGAAAGCTAATAAAATTAAAAATTTCAATAATTATTTGTGTACGGCAGGCTAAATAATGGCCCCCAAAGATATACTAATCCCTGGAACTTGTGAATGTTATCATCCATGGCAAAAGGGACTTTGCAGCTGTCACTAAGCTAAGGATCTTGAGATAAGGAGTTTATCCTGAATTATCTAGGTAGGGCCTAAATGTCATTATAAGTGTTCTTTTAAGAGAGAGGCAGAGGTAGATTTTACTATAACCAGAGAAGAAAGTGATGTGATGATGGAAGCGAAAATTAGAGTGATGCACTTTGAAAATGGAGGAAGAGGCCACAGTGAAGGAATATAAGTGGCTATTAGAAACTGAAAAAGCCCAGGAAATGATCTCTCTCTCTTCAGAGCCTCTAGAAGAAACCAGTCCTGCTGACACCTTGACTTTAGCCCAGTGAAAGTGGTTTGAGACTTCTGACCTCCAAAACAGTATTAGGCCACTAAATTTGTGGTGATTTGTTACAGCAGAATAGGAAACTAATATAGTATGTTAAAGAAAAACAAATTGGTCAAATTCTGATTTCCTGTTTCTTAGACAATGAAAATCTGAAAAGAAAAACATGGAAAGATGTGCCACAGTCCTCATTAGACAATAGATTTAATCAAGAAGCCTATCGACCTCAACAAAAAATGAGCAATTCTCTTACATTTTGGAGAAAGCATACAAGCAATCTCTATATAACGAAAGATCCTGAAATAAGACACAAAGGAACATGTAAACAAGAGAAATGTCAAAGTCTATGAGTAGATAAACAAAGAGCAAAAGTGAACCACATATAGTAACACAAAAGTGGATTTTAGGAATTGCTGCTCAAAAATAATTGGCTAATTCATTCATTTCCTCTAAAAGCTGTAGGCTATGTATTCAAGATATTCCTTTCACTGGCATAAACCTAGAAGAACTTAAAGAAAACATAAGGAGAACTAATAGTTTTACTGCTCTCACAGCCAAACCAGAAACCCAGATCAGCTCTAAGGGTTACTAGAGTCTAGGGATTTCTCATTTCTCTAAGGTCCCTTAGATGAGAGACAAATCACATCTCTTCAGGCTGTTTTAGGTCAGAAAAGGTTTTTGGGGGACATATCCAGAACAACCTGTACCCCTGAGCTAAAAGCCAACTTGTCTTAATTGATACATATGAAGTAAAGGCAGAGAGATGTGATTATTCATCTTACACCAAAATCTCCCATGTCAGACTTCTGAATGATCCTAAAATTGCTTGAGTTTCTGAATGCTATGAACACCCTGCTTCTTATTTGACAAATTATGGAGCAAAATGAAGAAAACGTATTCCTTAATAATTTTAAGTAACTGTCCTACAGTGCTTTTATAATATATGAATGTTCTCACATATCATATTATACAAACATCTTACATAAGAATTGGGCAGGAATGGGGCACCAAACAAAAAGGAGACTTTTAATCACTCATCAGACGAGGCCTATTTTGTACAGGAGCTATGTGTACTGGTTTGAATCCAGCATTTCCCGTCACGTACCTGTGTGTCAAAGACATTATTCAGCAAAATTCCATATTGGTGAGAGAGGCAATCAGAAAGCCAACGACAATCATGAATAACCTAAGGAATCAGGAGACAGTAATTAGAACCTGGCTGATAATCTTACTGGGGAGAAATCAGCTTATAAACTTACCTTCAAAATTCTCTTATCTTCTAATATCATCTGAAGTCCATTGTTGAAAGCACGACTTCCCAGAAGGAAAATGTCAAATAAGTAAACTCGGCTATTTGTAGCCACCTACAATAAACCATCCAGACATACATATTATAGGATAAGGAAGAACTGTGTTAAGGGATTTGGGAATCAAGAATAAAAGACATGCAATAAAATATTTAACATCTGGCCGGGCGTGGTGGCTCACGCCTGTAATCCTAGCACTCTGGGAGGCCAAGGCAGGAGGATGGCTCAAGCTCAGGAGTTCGAAACCAGCCTGAGCAAGAGCGAGACCCTGTCTCTACTAAAAATAAAAAATAGAAAGAAATTAATTGGCCAACTAAAAATATATAGAAAAAATTAGGCAGGCATGGTGGCGCATGCTTGTAGTCCCAGCTACTTGAGAGGCTGAGGCAGGAGGATCACTTGAGCTCAGGAGTTTGAGGTTGCTGTGAGCTAGGCTGAAGCCAGGGCACTCTAGCCCAGGCAACAGAGACTCTGTCTCAAAAAAAAAAAAAAAAAAAAATTAACATCTTCACATTTAAGTAAATAATAGGCACTCAATGATTCTTAGGGGAAAAAGGTTTAAAATAATCTTAAGTAAAAAAAAAAAAGACAATCACTGTGATTTTCAAAAGGAAAGGATAAGCTGATGACTTAGACTTTCACTTTTTACAGTCTGAACTTTACTGTTTTACCAATTTCACTGATAGCATTCTAATTGTGATACTGTGAGATATATATTTGGTATTCCCCACCCCCTCAGTTTCCTGTCCTAAAGCTCCTAAAACCTTTGGAATCATGGAAATGATAAAAGTGTCTTTTGTATGCTGATGAGATGGATGGTGACTGGGGGCACCTAGATAGCTTCAGGATGAACTGTTGGTCACAGGAAAAACCCCCAGCAAGATTAGAGGGTTGAGGTTGACTCATCCCTACTCCCCAAATTCCAGGGAAGGGAAAAGGCTGAAGGTCAAGCTTATCCCTACTGGCTAAAGATGTAATCAATCATGCCTACATAAGGAAGCTTCCATAAAACCTCCAAAGGACTGAGTTCAGAGGGCTTCTGGATAGCTGAGCATGTGGAGGTTCCTGGAGGGTGGTATGCCTCTTCTCCCATACCTCACCCTATGCAGCTCTTCCATCTGGCAGTTAATAATCCATATCCTTTGTAATAGTCTTTATAATAAGAAGTGGGTAAATGTAAGTAAAGTGTTTTCCTGGGTTAGGCAAGCTACTCTAGCAAATTAAATCAATGAGAGGAGGGGGTCATGGGAACCCCAATTTATATGCTGGTTGGTCAGAAACATTGGCAATTGGCAGGGCTCAGTGGCTCACACCTGTAATCCTAGCACTCTGGGAGGCCAAGGCGGGAGGATCACTTGAGCTGAGGAGTTTGAGACCAGCCTGAGCAAGACCAAGATCCCATCTCTACTAAAAATAGAAAAATTAGCTGAGTGTGGTAGCGCGCACCTGTAATCACAGCTACCTCAGAGACTGAGGCAGCATGACGCCATGGCAATCTAGCTCAAGTGACAGAGTGAAACTGTCTCAGAAAAAAGAAAAAAAGAAACATTGCCATCTGAAGTAGGGGGCAGTCTTATAAGACTGAGCACTCAATCTGTGGGGTCTGACACTATCTCTAGGTAAATAGTGTCAGAATTGAATTGAATTAGAGGACACTAAGCTAATACACAGCAGAATTGAATGTTTGGTGTGACGGGAAACAATCTCCACACATCTGGGGTCAGAATTTGTCTGTGTTGAGTAAACAGTAGAGACTAGGGAAAAAAAAATTTTACCCCCGTATCTTTAACTCTAACTCTCCAGGGATCACTGGTTTAAGTAAATGAACAGGTTGGTGCGGTGGCTGACGCCTGTAATCCTAGCACTCTAGGAGGCTGAGGCGGGCGGATTGCTAGAGGTCAGGAGTTCAAGACCAGCTTGAGCAAGAGCAAGACCCCTGTCTCTACTATAAATAGAAAGAAATTAATTGGCCAACTAATATATATATGTAGAAAAAATTAGCCGGGCATGGTGGCACATGCCTGTAGTCCAGCTACTTGGGAGACTGAGGCAGCAGGATTGCTTGAGCCCAGGAGTTTGAAGTTGATGTGAGCTAGGCTGACACCATGGCACCTCACTCTAGCCTAGGCAACAAAGCAAGACTCTGTCTCAAAAAATAATAAATAAATAAAGTAAATGAACAGCATTCCATTGTTATTAACATGAAATGCTACCTCTCTGAGTTCCAAAATATGCATGATTGTGTTAGGTGTTACATAAAATTACACATAAGGGGAGATCTCTGCCTTCTAGAGGTTTAAAACAGGCAACAAATACAATGGCACAAACATTTGGATGTGAAATATTCAACAGTATTTTATAGATCAATTTTATATAAGAATTCTAGTTTCTAATCACAGAAATCACAAAAGCAGCATAGCTGGATGATCTACTAAGATAGAGAATGAAGGCAAAAAAGATCCAAATGGATCTAAAAAGCCAGCCATGTGAAGTCTGATGTTACTTTAGAAGCTGAACTATTGTTACAGCTACAATTGCCAGACTTAGCTGACATCTAGTCTCAGAATCTTCATATGTTATGCTAGAATTTGACAACTAAGAGTGAATCCCTGCTTTTTTCCTCTGCTTCTTCTTCTTCTTCTTTTTTTTTTTTTTTAGACAGAGTCTCACTCTATTGTTGCCCAGGCTAGAGTGAGTGCCGTGGCGTCAGCCTAGCTCACAGCAACCTCAATTTCCTGGGCTCAAGCAATTCTCCTGCCTCAGCCTCCCAAGTAGCTGGGACTACAGGCATGCACTACGATGCCCGGCTAATTTTCCATATATATATTAGTTGGCCAATTAATTTCTTTCTATTTATAGTAGAGACGGGGTCTCGGTGTTGCTCAGGCTGGTTTTGAACACCTGACCTCAAGCAATCAGCCCGCCTCGGCCTCCCAGAGTGCTAGGATTACAGGCGTCAGCCACCACGCCCAGCCTTTCTCTGCTTCTTTTTTTTTTTTTTATTGTTTTTTTAAAATATTTTTTCAATTTTCTTTTTGTAATAAAAGTTCACAAACTTGATATCTCTGCTTCTTTAATTATAAAAATTGAATAGACACATTATAAATGTTTGGAAAATAATTCTCTACTGGACTGCAAACTCTGTGGTAGAAGAGATTATGTAGGGTTCACCATTAACACCACTATTTAACAACTGCAACAGAGCTGAACAAATAGATGGCTGTTATCCATTTCTTCAGTGAATCAATGTATGCCATACATATACAAAAACTGTATAAGGCTTTAACAACATGCAAACAGGCCAGGCACGGTGGCTCACGCCTATGATCCTAGCATTTGATCCGAGGCAGGCGGATCACTCAAGGCCAGGAGTTCAAAACCAGCCTGAGCACGAGCAAGACCCCGTCTCTACTAAATAAAATAGAAAGAAATTAATTGGCCAACTAAAAATATACAGAAAAAATTAGCCGGGCATGGTGGCACATGCCTGTAATCCCAGCTACTTGGGAGGCTGAGGCAGAAGGATCACTTGAGGCCAGGAGTTGGAAGTTGCTATGAGCTAGGCTGATGCCACCACACTCTAGCCAGGGCAACAGAGTGACACTATGTCTCAAATAAATAAATAAATACATGCATAAACAACATGCAAATTTATGACCTACTTTGTCACTCATAAACTTTCAAACATTTTTCCATATTTCTCTCATCATCAATTTTTTTTTTTTTGAGACAGAGTCTCGCTTTGTTGCCCAGGCTAGAGTGAGTGCCGTGGCGTCAGCCTAGCTCACAGCAACCTCAAACTCCTGGGCTCAAGCGATCCTCCTGCCTCAGCCTCCCGAGTAGCTCGGACTACAGGCATGCGCCACCATGCCCAGCTAATTTTTTATTTTCAGTAGAGATGGGGTGTCACTTTTGCTTAGGCTGGTCTCAAACTCCTGAGCTCAAGTGAGAGTGCTAGGATTATAGGCATGAGCCACTTCACCCAGCCAATCCTGCCTTAAAAAAAAAAAAAAGTAGTGGGATTTTTCTTTCCTCATAAAATATTTACCATTATTTGTGGGGGTTGAAACACACAAGCCCAAGGACCTAGATGGGGAAAATGTGCCCATTAATTTGCTTCCAGTCACAAAGAAGACAGCTATAACCAACTGGATGTCCCCTATGGTACCTAGAAAAACAAATTAGGAAATAACTCAGGACTGCCCACACCTGCATTACCGGAAAGTATATGCTTTTGTTTTAGTAGACAGAAATTTTGGTTTGTTTTAAGTTATTTGTGGCTGGGAATGGTGGCTCACAGCTGTAGTCCTAGCACTTTGGGAGACTGAGGCAGGAGGACTGCTTGAGGCCAGGAGTTCAAGACCAGCCTGGGCCACATAGCAAGACCCTGTCTCTAAAAAAAAAATAGAAAAATTAGCCGGGCATGGTGGCACATGCCTTTAGTTCCAGCTACTAGGAAGGCTGAGGCAAGAGGATTGCTTCAGCCCAGGAGTTTGATGTTGCAGTGAGCTTTGATGATGCCACTGTACTCTAGCCTGGGCAACTGAGCAAGACCCTGTCTCAAAAAAAAAAGTTATTTGTGATTGTACTACTAACTCAAATCTAGCCATCTAAAAACTAAGGATTATCAAGTAAGTACACAGAACAAGAGAGAGGCAATTTAATCCTTGAGCAAAACTAGACTCAAACACCTCCATTCCTTTCCCTTGGAGAAGGTAAACATTCCAGAGGGGGGAGTTTAAGAGGACAGACTGCCAACTCTAATAGAAAATAGTCTCTCAGAGAGTGGCAATAGATCCTGAGTCAAACCATAGAAGACACTGACTGAGGATTCAGTGTGTTCTCTTGACCACCCTTAAATACCGATGTGGCTCAGATAGATCCAAAAGTGGCTACCCATCCCCTCTAGCTATTTGAGGCTCACCACAAACTTCTTTGGCTATCTATAATGGGGATCGTCACGTAATATCTCCCAGGTTCAGAAAAACAAAAATGATGTGATAGAAATTTGTTGTGGAAAGCTACCACCCTAGAAGAAGAGAGAAAAAACTCTTCATATATCTAAGGTGATAGAACAAAGGTGGGAAAGAAGACCTCAATCAGAGCCTGTGAGACAGCAATGATGGTGAAAAAGTGAATCTTTTCTTTCTTGTGAAAAGAATAAATTAAGTACTAGAAGGAATAACATTCCAAACAAGTTATAGAACAATGACACTGAGTTGACAAAAAGAAGACAATTAAGAATAAATCTGAGCCGGGTGATGTGGCTCACGCCTGTAATCCTAGCACTCTGGGAGGCAGAGGCGGGCGGATTGCTCGAAGTCAGGGTTCCAAACAAGCCTGAGCAAGAGAAGACCCCGTCTCTACTATAAATAGAAGAAATTAATTGGCCAACTAACATATGTAGAAAAAATTAGCTGGGCATGGTGCATGCCTGTAGTCCCAGCTACTGGGGAGGCTGAGGCAGAAGGAATGCTTGAGCCCCGGAGTTGAGGTTGCTGTGAGCTAGGCTGATGCCAGGCGACTCACTCTAGCCTGGGCAAACAAAGCAAGACTCTTCCTAAATAAATAAATAATATATAAATAAATAAATAAATAAATCTGGCTGGGCCAGTTGGCTCACAGCTGTAATCCTAGCACTCTAGGAGGCTGAGGCGGGTGGATCGTTTGAGCTCAGGAGTTCAAAGACCAGCCTGAGCAAGAGTGAGACCCATTCTACTAAAATAGAATAAAATTAATTCCAACTAAAAAGTATATAGGAAAAAATTAGCCGGCATCGTTGGGACATATTCTTAGTCCCACTACTGTGGATGCTGCGGCAGGAGATGCTTAAGCCAGAGTTTGGAGGTTGCTGTGAGCTAAGCTGATGCCATGGCACTCTATCCCAGGCAACAGAGTGAGACTCTGTCTCAAAAAATAAATAAATAAAATAAAATAAATCTACCAGTGAATCTATAATTTCTTTTAAAAAATTTGGTAGAGTATATTGATAGCATCAAACTGAGGATACCATTTGTTTATCAGGAAAAATTTATTTTTTATATACAAATAGTTTTTTGTTACATGGATGAAGTGTATGATGAGGAAGTCAGGGCTTTTAGTGTGCCCATCACCCAAATAGTATACATTGTATAGGATAGATAATTTTTGATCCCCCCACCCTCATCCCTCTATAATTATTTAAAAATAAAAAGTTTTCAAAAATCTGGGCTAGTGAGGTGCTCACACCTATAATCTCAGTACTCTGGGAAGCCAAGATGGCATGAATGCTTAAGGCCAAGAGTTTGACACCAGGCTGGGCAACACAGAGAGACCCCTTCTTAAAAAAAAAATTAAAAATTAGCCAGGTGTGGTGGCATGCACCTGCCGTCCTGGCTACTTGGGAGGTTAAGGCAGCAGGATCAGTTGGGCCCAGGAGTGCCACTGCACTCCAGTTTGGGTGGCAGAGCAAGACCCTGTGTCACAAAATAAAAAACGGAAACAACTTTTACCTGAAGCCAACACAGTTTCCCATGACGACACACATTAGCTCCTTCTGCTGCCACACTCAGTACACTCTGCTTCTTGATGTGGAACATCTAGTAAGAAAAGGAAAATGCTCCGAGGAATAAGTGTTAGCATTATAACACCATGAATAGCATAAGCAAAATGGCCAGTCATTTTAAAAAGTGGATCATATTTTTTTTTTTTTTTTTTTTGAGACAGAGTCTCGCTTTGTTATCCAGGCTAAAGTGAGTGCCGTGGCGTCAGCCTAGCTCACAGCACCTCAAACTCCTGGCTCCAACTCTCCTGCCTCAGCCCCCACGTAGCTGGGACTACAGGCATGTGCCACCATGCCCGCTAATTTTTATATAATATCAGTTGGCCAATTAATTTCTTTCTATTAAGTAGAGACGGGGTTCGCTCTTGCTCAGGCTGGTTTTGAACTCCTGACCTTGAGCAATCCGCCTGCCTCGCCTCCCAAGACTAGGATTACAGCGTGAGCCACAGGCCCGGCCAAAAAGTGGATCATATTTTTAAACTTATCAAAATTTGACTATCCGAAAACACAGAGTCTATCCAAATAACACCATAAATCACCACTTCAATTCTGACTTCTCTTTTTGTTTTAGCAAAAGCTATCTCACAACTGGAAAATAAAATCATCATACGCCGAAATGTAATAACAGTTGAAAACTCCAGGGCACCCTTTTGTTACCACTGATGCT